CATACTAATCAATACAACTCGTTTCCCCCAGGCTTCGGAAGATATAACACGCAATTTGGATGAGGTTGGACTGTGAATTGGCCTGAATGGGCCTGTTGGCCTATGAAGTTGCCCTTTCCATGGTTGGACTGCTCGTGAGGTCAGTGCGGGTTCCTACTGGGCCACGCCTGCCCACACGTGACTGTTTTCGGAATCCCTCCCCTCTCAGATCATCCCCGGACAGGCCCATCCCCTCTTGCTTCATCATCTCTTTGTATACTCCTCATTTGGCATTGGCGTTGACTTGCTATAAGACTGGCGATCAGCCCAGTGTAGTTCGTGTCCCCCTTATCCCAACCCTCTTTGCCGTTATCGCCCATCTACATCATCGGATATCCACCTTCGGTTCAATCACCCGTTGCGGTAACACCACTTTCCCTCGTCTTATCTCTCTCTCTCTCTCAGACCTCAGAAGAGAGACCTGAGTCATTCTTTTCGAACAGCAGACTGTGACAGGTCATCTCAAGCTCCTTATCGGCTTATCTGGATATACTACCCCGGTTTAACCTCACGATGAAGGTATGCCTCACGGTCGCAACCCAACGTGTCTTTCTATCAGTTTACTCACTCTCTCGTGATATAGTTCCTCCCACTTCCAGACTTCGAGGACGTGACCAGTTCTCTGAATTTCGATACGACCGACTGCCATATCGTCGGCGGCTGTGACATTTACACCACCAAGGCGGCACGCTCTGATCGGAAACTCTACAACCATATCGAACAGTCGCTCGAGGCTCAATATGAATCAGTCCTTCGTTTTTCGGCTTCACTTTCACCTCCTAATGCACACGATGCCGCCGAGGCCCTCAATCTGTCGCGTTCCAGCCCGTTCGGACCCCTGAGCGACCATTCGAGTCGACGGACCTTCGCCTATCTGATCGCTACCCTGAACGCAAGTCACCCGGATTATGACTTCTCACACGTCCTACGCCCCACTGATTTCCGACGCGAACGGAATTTGAAACGCGTCATGAACACAGTCGACTCAACGCTGCTCAACCTGCGACCGCGCGAGAACATCAACTTGTCTCCGGCATCCCCTGCGACGCTTTCTGGATCATACACAGCAGGATCATCTTCTGCCTGGGGCCCTCGGGTGTGGAAAACGATAGATGAACACATGTCTCTCAAGGAGTGCTCGATCTACTCATATTCACCGGAGGAGGACCCATCCGATGCCGATGACGGAGCTATCTGGAGTCTACATTTCTTCTTCTTCAACCCGATTCGCAAGCGCGTTTGTTACATCTTCCTACGCGCGATTCCTATACTCAGCCACACCCCAGACGAGATGGCGACTACGCCTACCGGGAAGCGGACCTACGACGACGGATACCTCACACCGGATCTCAGCTCCAGCAAGCGTGCCAAGTTTTGGTTTGGAGAACGCGCTAGATCGAACCTTATCTCCAGTGACAGTGATGATGAGATGGATCGCCCGCCGAAGACGATTCGGACGACCGATGACTACGACACTTATGTGATTAGTGACGACGAGGAGAATATGCCAACCAACCGTCGGGGAGTCCGCGCGATGAGTGAGGAAATTGCGGACTCGATGGAGGTCTAGATATATCAAATGACTTGGCTTTATGCTTTTGCTTTTGTTCGTTTCTTGTTTATCTTCTTATGGCCCCGTTGATCGGGTATGATATTTCTAGCTGGCGGTGTTGGGTAAATGTTTCTTTCTTTGTTTTGAATGGCGCGATTCCTTTTTGCATTGTCCTTTTGTTCACGAGGGGATATTAACATAATGCCCCTCCACTTTCTGTGACTTACTGTCTAATATCACTATGTCTATGTTTGGATTTTGCTGTCTTATGGAGATTTATCAATGTTAGGAAGTAAGCCTTTTTGTTTCTTATTGACTCCTAGCATTCGTTTGAAAGCTGTCACTGACAGTAAAGAGTCATCCATATGCCATGACCAGCACTGAAGCCCAGGAACCACACCATCCGATGTCAACCCTACAGACTCCTCCCTGATTTGTTCGAAAGGAACAAGACTAAGGGCGTCCAGACCTCTCCTCGCTTCGCTGCCGACACGCGGATTAATTGCAACGCCCGATGGAAATACGGGAGGAGGCCCGTTGTTGGGTTTGTTGACCACCACGACCAGGACATACGTAATTCCAGACCATATCTCGATCAACCTCAAGATATGACATGACGGTCTTCCGGCGACAGGGCTCCTCCATAGCGCATGGCAAAAGGCTTCAAATGGCTCTTCCACGCTTGAACTCTCTCTGAGGCTGTTTCCCATATCACATCGTTCTTGTCAAGTAAACAAGCTGCATTGACTCTGAATCTCCGATCGATACTCTTACCAACTCCTCGTGGATAATTTTCTGAAATAATCCCATCTTGAATAACTAGCAAATTACTCACTCGCTCCAAGTCTATCAATATATTGTCAGTTAGTTTGGAGCTGGGGAAGGATCTGTTAGCTATTGCTATGTAGGCTTGTATTTTATTGATCTTACCTTGTAATATACAATCAGAAATAATAGTACAGTGGCTCTAAGTAATTATCTAGCGCATCGACCTCTAGTTCGTACTTATACGTCTCATTTGGGCATATAGATCAGACACGTGGTCCGTGCATTGGAGAGCTGTCCATTCTCTCCCTTCCACTTCATCAACTTCCATTTGAATAAATTCATACAATTCATAAGATTCATCATGGCCGACGACGCAGAGCGCATCAAAGCCGAGAAGCTGGCCGCAGCCAAGAAAAGGGTAATTCCTCGCGAGCGACGACAGATGGCGTTGTTTTGGTCGCTAACTTGACTGTTGTTCTTTAGGTTGCCCAGCTCCAAAAGAAAAAGAAGGCCAAGAAGGCTACCACCGGAGCTGACACGCCCAAGGACGCAGATGTCCCCGCAGAGACAGAACCTGCTGAAGATGCCCCGAGCCCAGAAACACCGCAGGCAGACACCCCCGCGGAGGAGAAAGATGAGCCGGTCGCGCAACCCGAGGCCACAGCCTCTGAACAACCAGAGGAACTAGAAGACTCAAATTCGCAACTTGCTGTTGATACAAACATCGAGTCTCCTACCGAACCGATGCCTCCAGCGCCCACATCTCCTGGTCCAGACGCCGAGCCGCTGCCAGTCCGGCTCGATACACCGCGCGGCAACCACGGCCGACATGCCTCACTGTCAATCCAGTCTAAGATGCGCTCGTCTTCATTCCGCAAGACCTCCGTCTCACATGGAAGCGTCTCCCCCTCTCCATCTTCTGCTACGCTCAAGTCCCCTTCACAATCATTACCGCCTCTAACCGGGGACGGGGAGTCGGTTCATGAAGTGTTCCGCAAACAGTCTACTAAGATTGAGGAGCTTGAGAAGGAAAATAAACGCTTGGAGAAGGATCTCTCGGAAGCAACTCTGCGCTGGCGCAAGACTGAGGAGCAAGTGGAGGATCTGCGGGATGCGAGTGTTGATTCCGTCGGGTTGAGGGAGCAATTGAAGACAGCAGAGGAGAAGGTTGCAAGCATTGAGTCGTTGGTATGATATCTTATTTCCCGTGGTAGCCATATTTGCTAACCTGTCGAATAGAAGGAGGAAATTGCTTCTCTTCAGCGACAGAACTCACAGCTCCAGACCCGGTCACATCGAAACACAACTACAACAGAGTCACCGCCAGCCGACCTTGTTCTTCAGCTCGAGTCCAAGTCAGCCACTATTGAATCTATGGAGTTGGAGATCTCGAATCTCCGCGCCCAGGTCGCCTCCCAAACGTCCTCTAACGATGCACACGAGTCTCAGGTCGCAGCGCTAGAGGAGAAAGTTTCAAAGACACAATCAGCACTAGATAAATCTCAGCGTGAAGTGGCAGACATCAAGCAGGCATTGACGCGGGCCTCTGAGAAAGCAGTCAAGGAAGGCGTTGACAAGACATCTACCGAAACGCTGATCAAGAACCTCCAACGTGAGATCGAGGAGTATAAGAACGAAAAGAGCGAATCGGAAAAGAAAATCGAGACGCTCGACAAGAAACTCCAGGCAATAGGCAATCTTCACAAAGAAACCGAAGCCCGGCACCAAACACGGTTACGCGAGAGCGAGAAATCCGACAAAGAAATCGCTGTTATGCGGAAAAAGATCGCCAGCATCGAAAACGAGAATCTGCGTCTACGCGAAGAGAGCGATCGGATTCGAACTCGCCAGACCAGTGGAGGCGCAGACGATGAAGCCCTAGACGAGCTCGAGGACGAAGAACGCCAGCGTCTTGAGCGGCGAATCCGCGAGCTGGAAGGCGAGGTCTTCGATCTGCGCCGCGGCGTGTGGCAAGAGAAGCGCCAGGAGATGGAGTACTACCCGGATGATGGACCTAGCGCTGTCTCCGGTGACGCAGCCAATGCATTCGACGACGTCGATCTCGTCGGTGGACGACCCGACCATGCCCGTCGCCGCAGCATGGCCCAGCAGCAGCAGCACTCCTCCTTTTCCACAGTACTTTCTAGCGGCTTTGCTGCCTTTACTGGAGTTGGTGGAAACCGCGCTCAAACTTCATCCCCTCATCCCCCTGGTACCCGTGGAAGTCTCGAGCTTGTTTCCGAAGAAAACCTCGATGACGAATTCGATGAAGATGCATTCGCGCGTGCGCTGGCTGAGGAGGAAGCCCGCAAGCGTGTTGAATGGATGCGCGATATCAAGAGCAAGCTGCGTGACTGGAACGGCTGGCGTCTAGATCTGGTCGATAGCCGTGCCGGTGCAGAGGGTGCTGGCGTAGGCATGGGGGAGATATTTGAGGTTTAGTTTGCATGCATCATGTATGCGGGAATCGGGATGTACGATCAATTACTAGTTATATACCAGGTCGAGCTCAACTTCCGAGTTGGCCAATGAACTTCGATGCAAAGAGTGAACTCCTGATGCAATTGACGTAGGATATATGATGGAACACGATATAATAAGACACGGAAAACATTCGAAATGAAACAAAACCAAAATAACCTCAATCCATAGAAGACTTGCCCGTCAAATACCCCTCCGACGACCTATTCTTCCTCCGACCCCAGACCTCCCTAGCCCAACTAGAAATCTGATAAAGCCAGCCACCAGTAACCAGCACACCAGAAATAGTGTTAATAACCCTCACCACCAGCGACAAAAACCCGGCCCTCTCCTCGCTGACCAGCAACAAGATCGGCTCAATGCTATACTTGAAAAAGATACCCGGCACAACCATCGGCGACTCAGGGAGCACGGTGGACTGACTCGTCGCCGCGTACTGGTTCGTGAAGACCGTGTTGCGTCCGTGCCGCGCGGCCGCCGTCTGCGGCGAGCGCGTGTACGCGTCCAGCGCGCCCTTCCCGCGACTGTACAGCGTCGGCACGATCGAGAGGAAGTACTGGAACTTGTAGTAGTGCTCCTCGCTCTCGGCGATGGTCTTATCGAGGGGATTCTGCAGGGTCGGGTAGTGCGGGCCGAAGGAGAGCTCGGTGATCATGTGGGAGAAGTTGAATGCTGATAGCTGTTAGCGTTGTTATAGATGGGTTGTGACAAAGTAAAACACATACACGAGTGATCCAGATGCGGCGCGTTCTCGCGATACCCGTGCCCACGAGCCGTGATATGGAAGTCACCCTGCACCTTATTCCCCTCGAGGCTGCCGTAGATGCGACAAGAGTCCGGGAGGATACCGCGGCGCATACGCGGGCCCTTGGCGAACTTGCGGCGCGGGTTATGGCGCACTTCGCCGAGGACGTGGCCGACATGGGCGTCGGCTTCTTGCTCGGCGAGACGGTCTGATTCTTCGTGGGAGAGGGTCTGGTATTCGTGGGCGCCGGCGTTGCGCTTTTGCATCCACAGGAGCCAGTTTGTGTCGTCGCGTTTGAGGAGCTCGCCGGCTAGGATGCGGTCGCCGGCTGCGTCTTGGATGTTTACGCGAAGCTGGTCGCAGGGCATGTGGACGACTATGTCGAGGTTGAGCTGGAGCTCGTGCGAGACGCCCTTTTCAACGCTGAAGTGGTAGTTTTCTGTGCCGCGCCACCAGGTTTTTAACTCCGACCAGCTGAAGATCGTGCATATGATGAGGATTAGGACGGTCCATTGGCCGCCGCTGCGTGTTGGGGTTGTGTAGGAGGCTTTTGTTTTGGCTGGTGGAGGTCGGTTAGCTTTTGTTTAGCTTGAATCTCGAGGGTACTCACGAAAGGCGTCGAAGGTCTTCAGGGCAGCCAGACCAGGCTTGCCACCGAAGGAATCTTCGTCCAGGCCCTTAGATTCGAAGCCATTCATTGCGAATCAATTACCCATAAAGGCCAAAGTTGTTGTAGAAGTGGAGTAACTAAGATAAGGCGATGAGGCCAAGTAGCCCGATTGCCCAGTGGGGATAATGCCAGTACAACAACGTACATTCAACAGTTGTATATCGTATCTTTATATTATTCAGTCTCTTATTTATAGAAGTTGTAAAACTAAAAATCACATGGTCATTAATTCAGCATAGACGCCACTTGACAACGTTAAATCGCTCTACCCATGAGCAACACATAAACTCTTAAGAAATGCAATAAGAGGTAACAATGTACAAGGGACCACACATGGCCCTGAATGGGGTTCATCAAGTATAACAAAAACGAAGGAAATGCATAAGCAAGAGCAAAACATAAGGTATAAGCGAACACTCAGGTCATCAGAGGCGCAATGCAAATGCAGGAACAAGGGGGTATAACATGAATGCATCTCAAGGAACAAAATGCTAACATGACAACCACCCGATGCAAGGATGAGAACGTAAAAACAAGGATTAGTATTACAGCGCATTCAGAACAAAAAATCGTGCAAGATCATTTCCTCTAGCGGCTGGTCAGCATCCCATCTCTGGCCCCGGTTCAGGTTGCTGGCCTAACTCACCAGGCTGGTCGCAGCCGCCGCAGTAGCGAGGTCGGGCTTCCCGCTGATATTCCGCGCCGAAACGCGAGGGAGCGCGGACCCGACAGTAGAGTTGCTGGACCCTCGCTTGCCGGGGCTGGACGGAATGCCATTCACGGTCGAGTGTCGCTTGACGCTAGACTTGACCGGGGAATTGGCCGAGGCATCGCGGGTGCGCATGAACCCGCTCTTCAGAGTTGTGCCTGGAGGATCTGGGAGAGGACGAGGCCCGGACGTGACACCTCGCTTGGGGGGCGAGTTTGATGCATACATCCTGGGCCGGGGCGCCTTGGCACCAGTGAGGAATTCGTGTTTCAATGCGTCATGGGGCGAGAGTCGACGAGCAGGATCCCAGCGGAGGCAGCGAGTGATGAAGTCAAGGAAGGCTTCATCGTCACATTTCAAGGCCTGTCGGAGCTCCTTGGAACTTGGACGACGTCGGCGGCCTTTGGATGAAACTGTCAAACGCGGCTTGCCGAGGGAATCAAAGAACAACTTCTTGCGTGAGCTCTTCTCAATGAGATGCTTTTCCGGAGGACCAAAGACCTCCATGATGCAAGCAAGCTGTTCTTGCTCATTCTCGCCTGGGAAAATGGGATAGCCGGTGAAGAGCTCAGCCAAAATGCAACCTAAACTCCACATGTCTATCGGCATGCCATACGACATTCCGAGGATGACCTCGGGCGAACGGTAGAAGCGACTTTGGATATAAGTATAGACCTTTTCATTCTCAAAGCAACTCGAACCAAAGTCGATGACTCGAATTTCAGAGTTCAATGGGTGAACGAGAAGGATGTTTTCGGGCTTCAAGTCACAGTGAATGACCTTCTTCGCGTGCAACAGCACAAGACTGCTCAGCATCTGTTTGGTGAAAACACGGATCAGCTTCAACGAGAAGCCCCGGAATTCATGGGCCTTGATGAATTCATAAAGATTCATGCCGAGGAGTTCGGTCGAGATACATAGATGACCACGGAAATAGAAGCTTTGGGTGAAGTTGACCACGCTATGCTTCCCATGAGGATCCCATTCCTTCAGTTTCTGTAGGAGGTTGACCTCAATCAGGGCTTGTTGGTGGAATCGCTTCTTGTTGCGGATGATTTTAATCGCAACCAGAGCTCCAGTCTTGTGATCGACGCATCGCACAACCTGGCCAAAACTACCTTTACCCAGGACATCAACAACTTCGTACCGGTAAGCCAGATGGTCGCCGACGACGATGTTATAATCACCACGGTCATCATCGTAACCGAAGTTCGCTGCACTGGAGTGAAGATCTCCAACATGTTTCTTGGCGGTCTGAGTACCGCAGAAGTAAATATCGCGATAATCGATGATCTCACCGCGTTCAAAGATGTTGAGCGCGGCCATCTTCAAGGCCTGGGCGGGACTGACACGATCCTTTGGTCCAGCCTTGCGCCGCAAGTCGTCTAGCACCCGCGCCGCCTTTTCAAAGTCTTTGCGTTTGGCCCCAAGTCGCTTCATCTCTTCGTCTGCAATAACCACATCTGGATCAACAGTGCTGTCGGTAGACCGGGGGGCAGCGGCAACACTAGATCTAGCATGATTGATCATCTTATGAACAGGAGAGATGTACGAGCTCTGCACACGTCTAGAGCGGTCGCTTTCAACCGACTCATTGGAAGGAGTTGGCTCCAAGGCGAGACTTTTCTCGCTGCTGACACTTGGTTTCCGAGTCGTCGGATTTGTGGTATTTGAGATAGAAGACTGGCGGCGAAGAGTGAGATATGATGGCTTGGGATTAGGGCTCGTCGAGTTGACAGAAGAAAGGTTACTCCATGTTGCAGAGGCTGGAAGTTTGGGCGGCGGCATAGCATTGTACTTGGCTGGATCAGCATCGAATTCTGGCTTGTGGGGCTTCGAGTTGCTGCGAAGCCGCGCCACCTTGAGCCGATCTCGAAGAGAGGTGCTGGACGCAGCGACAGTTACACTCTCAGGCTCCGAAGGTGTCGATATCTGGCTGAGCCGTTCCGGGGCAGGAGTGATAATGGCAGTTTGAGTTTGAGGCCGTGGACCATTCAACTTGTGTGCTTGCGTTCGATTCGAGTAGTCGGCGCTGATCTGTTGGCGGAGATGGTTGAGCTCAGCACCGCTCTTAGGCAGCGTGTATGAGGCATAAGGAGAAATGTTCCGAGCTGCGCTTGGCGTGTCAAATGACTCAAACGCGCTGGTACTGCTAGAAGCTCGAAACACGGTTGAGCTGACGGCAAAGTGAGAGGTGCTGCTTCGTGCCTGAGTGAGGGGCAGTTGGTCGTCTTCATCACGGTACCAGAAATTCGCCTTGGATGCTGTCATCGGAGTACTGGGCGTCTTTGAAATCACTTGTTTGGAGGGGGTGTGAGCTCTGTGCTCCTCGTCCCTGTCCTTAAGTGCCTCGATTTTGGCTGCCATGGGTGTGCCCAGAGGCAACAAGTTCAGCGGGGGCAACTTCAAGGGCTGCAAACCCTTTCGTCCTCCCACAATATTAGTAGTTCGTGTTCGTGAATCAGGGGTTTTCGCTTCTACAGGGTCAACCTTGTCGACTTGGGCTATGAAATGCACTTCGGAGTCTGAATCTTTCAAAATGTTCAAATCCACAGGAATACTTGATTTCCTAGGCGTGGGGAAGACAGGTGCATCCATTTCACTTTTGGGCGACTCGTAGGCCTTGGGGATCGCTGGAACCGGTGGTACCTCTTCCCCGTTGGGATTCCCTTCTGTGCGTGGCTTGGGAGTCGGAAGTCGAGAGGAAGATAGATTTTGGGACAGCCGGTTTTGAAGAGAGCCCGCAGAAGGTCGCACCGAGTTATAGCTGGTGCTTGAAGAAGCAGACAGCCCCGAACTGTACGACTTACGATTTGGGTCAGGCGTGGTTCGGTTCGAGGAAGGTGTGACGCTTTTCCTCGGAATTTGAGAGGGAGATTGAGTGGATGATATAGGGCAGATGGGAAGAGGTTCTGTCTGGGTGGGAGGCGTATTTGGCATTGGAGGAGCAGGAGGCGCAATCGACATTCGCTTCAGTCGTCGTGCGTCAGTGGGACTGATCGTCCGAGCACCAAGTCCTGTGGCATGTGGCGGCATAACAGAAGCCCGCTTAGAGGCAGAGGAAGGAGTCGCTACGGCGGCAGAAGAGTTTCTTACCGGGCTCCGCACAGCATTGGTGGAATTTGATCGTGTGTGGTCAATGTTCCCAGAGGGTGTGAGAAACGGCCCACGAGGTTCCCTTGGGCTGGGCTGGAATGACTTTGCCTTGAGGTTTCGAGCAGCTCTAGCATCAGACTCTGGAAGTCGAGGGCGAAGGTGATTATTTGCCGCCGCGGTGTCGGTACTGATTTTGCGGGCACTTAGGCTGGCGCGTCTGGCCGAAGCATTGGTAGGCGCAAATGCCCCAGAGCTGATAGATTTGCGCGGACCCCTTGGAGCAGCTCCGGCAGACGGCTGGGCTATACTCTGGCGGCGGGCGCGGGTGTTGGCAGAGGATGCCGTGAGCCCTGCCACGGCATTCGGACCATTCGGACGTTGCACTTCGCTCTTTCGTCGAGCGGAAGCACCCCGTGCATGTTCCGATACATTGGCCGCGTACGTGTGGCTTTCCCAGGGGTTTGCCGGAGGACCTGTTTGACGATTCTCACCCGAACTGCTCCCGGGCATGGGAAAGTTGTTCAAGCTAGGCTCACCCATGATGCTGTTATGGAAATCATCAAAGTTGACCGGCGTTAGTAAGTCCATGTTGTCTGCATGATTGGAATCAGCCTTTGCCAGGTTGCCCACACTCGTAGATCGAAGGTTGAAGCTTTTGGTCGAATCCATCGTGGAATCAACAGACGAGTTATTAGAATGAAGGTATGGACTAGGTTTGCTAGATATCGAATTAGTTCAAGAGTCAATTACGAGAGCTGAACTAGACATACCTCCATCGGGAACCGTCTTGGGGCCGTGGGCCCTGAGGAACCCTATCACGAATTGACAGCCTTCTCCTATTTATCCCACCCGTGCGCGGACCGGCGACCCCATTCGATGTGTCAAAATGGGTATTCGAGGGGAAGTGCGTGGAAGCCGACTTCTGCAGGAGCCTGCGGGCCGGAGCCTCTGCTATTTCATGTTAGTATCTAGCTGCACCTTCCCGACATCTCAACTCTTACCTCCGGAGCCCGAATCATCATGTGAGGGATTGTGTGATTGTGCTTCGGTCCGTACTTGACCCCTCCCCGGTGTTTGCGGCTTTGTTGGCATTGTTTAAGCTCCCGCGTCTCTCAAGTAAAGTCGGAAAAGGAGACTGGACCGTGCCAGAGAGGCGATCGCAATTGCATTCAGGAGAAGTGCGAGGTCTCAACCAGGAGATACTTGAGCACCGTCGCGCGACT